ATAGAAAATACTAAGGGAGTCATTCTTTATGCCGCACTCATTAGTTTATCTCTCTCATTTGTGATTTATTATTGATTTAATAAGGCGGAAAAAATAGTGTACAAATTCTAACACTAATTTTGTTACATGATCGAGCAGAATGGAAGTACATGGCGATGATATTTTCTGCTACGAACTGAACAGGATAACTGAATGTGACAGTTAGAGCCCAGCAGGTTAAACCTAACCGATAGGTTAGGTTATGTTTAGGTTATGAAACTTTTTATAGGTTAGGTTGTAGGTTATGCCATTGACAATCTATTTTTAACCTAAACGATAAAAGCCGATTTTGAACGACCACATTAAAACAGCTTATACTTTGAGTAATAAAGTGTAGTCAGTCCTAGTGGAATTTTATCGACTGAGGATGAAGTTCAGACTGAGGTTCTCTAGTTTGAACTAAACTATTTTTAAACTGAAAAATAGCACAATCAAAAAAGGAAATACAGAGAAAAAACTGCTGTTTGCTAAAAATAGATAGCAGATACACAACAATAACAGAACCTTCGTTAGGTTACGAAAAAAAACATAATAGGTTAGGTTAGGTTAGGTTAGGTTATAGGTTGTCAAAAAGTCGAAACCTGCAGGCCTCTAGTGATAATCTGAAAAAATTAACAAAGTGATAGAAAGAAAGTTAGGACTTCGCATTGAGATCGATTAGGTGTGAAAACAGCATTAACGTTCGGTCGTACAATATCTAACTAGATTAAACAAATTCTTCATCGGTACGTTCTTAAATATGTTACATATTGTAAATGTATAAAGCCTAAGTCTCTTAGATTCTAAATGGATTCTTTTCCGATAAACATGAAGAAATTTCGATCGACGTATGTTTCCATATCTCGTGGTGCATTTCTCATCTTTATTATTCTCTAGACATTCAGTACTATAAACGTGGAAGTATTACACGGTAAGTATTGAATGGCAGATTCTGTCCGTACCATCTCAGTCTGGATATAACATCATGTATGTCTAGATTGAAAGGCTTTAATATTCTAAGAAATAATTTGAAGTCTTTGAGATGTAGATTATTCATTCATCTAGAATATCTATCCAGATTTGCTATAGCCGAACAAAACCCTAAGTCTATCGTCTTTGTATAAAAGTGAGAAAGAGCAATTATATTGTACAATTTTAAACATTCAATTGATAAATGTTATTCCACGGTTGGTATTATTGCTATTTAGTGTTACGTCCGCTGGTGAAGTCCTATTTCGTTGAAAGTAAGCAAAACATTTCCTCGATTTTATAAGTTTTATAAATTGTTTACGATATGCTGGTGACGATATTAAATAAATATAAAAGTTAGAAATATTATTTAGAAAAAATATGAGACTTGTAATTGTCATAATTAATATGTCTCGCGCGCTTATAAATGAATCTTTTTGAGAATTTACTGTTATTGCTGCATATACAGCCTGAACGCAATATGGAATTGATGATACTATAATAATTACTATTTGTAATAATAACATTGATGTCAATTGTTGATCTAAACGGTGCTGCTGTTGAACAATGGGTGTAATTCGTCGTTGACGAAGATTATTATATGTCATTAGACCAAATATTGTCATTATTGATACTGGTATTATCACTAAAAACAATGGATTATATACACATGTTGAATAATATAAATATGATGTGGATAAATATGTACATGTTGATTGATTGTCTTTATTTACAGTAATAATCATCGATATTGCTAATGGTGATGAAATTACAAGAATAAATAAAGGTACAATTGGTAGTGTTACACGTGAATTTAATATTTTACTTAATCGTCTTCTATGAACATCTTGACATGATAATAAATAACGATCAATTGTCGCTAAACAAATACATGCTAGTACTGTTAATGCAAATGTTTGTCGTAAAAATAAACGTAATTTACACCATATCAATGAAGATAGAGTAAAATCAATATTAAATCCATATGTTAGTATTCTTGTAGATAAAGTAAAGATTAATTCTGAACAATCAGCTACTGATGACGTTAAAATATATCTTGTACAAGAGTTTTTATTGAAAGCTTTTTTTGACAAAAATATTAGAATATTCAAACAATTACCAATAAGTCCAAATAAGAACAGGAAACTACCAACATATATATTAATTTGTTGATAAATATAAATAATCGTCGATGTTGTCACCATCTTATATAGAAATTCAATTTAATAAACAACTCCAGTCTATAAAAAAAGGACCTTTTGCATAAAGTCTCATGTTTCTTATTAGATACGACATTTGACTAATTCATATTATTGAGAATATATATATAAAAGTTTTCTCAAAAATCTACCGATAACATGCTGACGTTGCATCTTGAACTGTATCCTTAATGACAAGAGTTCTGCAGCTGTTTTGCTTTTTAACCCATGGCGCGAAAGTCTTGGCACAACGTGTTCGTTTATTTTTAGACTACTGAGACGCAACTAATGAGAGTTAAAAGAAGTTACTTAGACGCAGAATTTGACGCACTTTCTATGCATATGCTCAGAATTCTTTTCTAGCTTAAGACTGACTAACTGTGAGTAAATGTTTAATCGGCTCGAAAATGAATTTCCCCGATATTTTGTAGTTTGATTAAAAGATCCTCCTCAGCTGGAAACATAAAACGCCTTTTCATATGTCAGTTTTCTGCGTCTAAGTAACTTCATTTAACTCTCATTAGTTGTTTCTAGGTAGTCGAAAAATGAACGAACACATTGCGCCAAGACTTTTGCGCCATAGGTTAGATTCTTTTTGGTTTTCTTTTTCTAAACATATTTATTTCTAATGCTTATAATAAACATACAAAGGAAACAATGAACATGCACGGTATGTCGGGCAGGATTATTGTGTGCCGGTTTCTCGTATACAACAAAAGAATAAATGAATAAAAAGGAAATATGATGAAGTTATCAGTATGACAGCAGTTTTGGAAAAAAAACGTGAAAATTACAAATTAGTTTATGGAGAGGAAAGGTAGACAGAAATGTGAATTATCATAATATGTCAATGTATTTAACACAGATACAGATCAAACATCAAGGCTGATCAAACCGGCGCATTGCAGCGATAAAGTGGAGGACAGTATTATATACTTCAATCAGTTCTTCTTTGCAGATGCTCTTATCAAACTGTGATGCAACAAAACATGATCAATTATTATTGTTTTCACTTTTAGAGTATTCGCGAACAGTTGTAACATAGTTTGATGTGGAGCATCATACCGAGTACAATGCATAAAGAAATGTTTAGTTAATTTCTTATCATCTCCACAAATACAATCTAACGAAGACACAAGTTGTCTTATGAATACAGGTTCATTTAACTGTGGAAAACCAAGTCTACATCTCGTATAATGGATCTCAAGTTTTCCGTTCTTAACAGAAGGAACTCGGAAGGATTCTAGGAAAGATGATTCTAAGTACGATTTAAGACGTTTATACTTACGATCATTACGCTCGTCATCATCCAGCTGATTCCACAGTTTACTTGAGTTTCTGATCAAAGTCCTTTCAAGTCTCAAGCCTGCCTTGAAGCTAGTCGGAATATCACTTCGAGCCACACTTCTTATAGCATACACTTTGGCACAAGTACACATAGATATGGAGACGTTCCGCTATGCACAATTTATCTGGCAGAGAAAAGTTTGGTTTATAGAAGTTCGAAATTCGGAAGGCTCAAGCCCCCCTGCTTCCCCCTTTTCCGCCGCCTATGCCAAGGCTCTCTTGCCTTCTAAATGACTGATTTCGAAAAATCTATTTTTTGCAGTACCGCCT